CGCCCGTTGGCCCTGCCTTTCCCAGCATCCCCCGCGGCGGTAGCGGAGCCCGTCCCCGCTCGGTGACCTTCGCCGGCAGCCCGCCCGCTCCCGGCTCTATCGGTGGGTTTCGGCCCAAGCGAGCCCTGCCGGTTGTTGGCGGGCATCGCTCAGGGGTGTCTCGGGGAGGCAGTTGTGGTTCAGCCTGGGGAAGGCGGGGGGGCGGGGGGCGCCCGAGCTCTGCCGTTACCCACCTCCCCCCCCCGCGCGTGCGGAAGGAGCTGTATGGGTCAGGCCCCGGGGGGGCGGCAGGTTCTCTGGGCTGCGGTGGGGTCATGGCGGGGAGGTCAATGAGAAAGCAGATTCAGCGGTGTTCCGGATCGATTTCGGAAAAAAGGCCTGAACAACGGCGCGTCCACCGAGGCCGTGCGGAAAGGTTTCTGCCGGGTTTTAGCAGGGTGTTAATTGGAAACAGCATTGCTTAGTCTCTGTGTTTTGTAGTGGTGGGAAAATCCTTCCCTTCCTTTCTATTCGGCTTCCTTGTTTGTTAGTATGTCCTGGTATTCTTCTATAGCAGAATTACAGCTATTATGGCACTATTCTTGTGAAACTACAAATACTGGAAACTTTGGGGGAGGTGCAGTGTTCTTAATAGTATTGGTGAAAGCACAAAGACAGGAAATCTGTCCACAATAATAAATTTGATTGAAATGCCTGTCCATAAACAAGTAAACGTAAGTGTGGGTTTGTCTATAATTATACATTAATTACCATGAAGATGCTTTCATTCTGTAAGAAGCACCTAGATTTTTCCAGTTGTTTTGACATTGGCTACCCTTGCATCCTTTTCTCTTTGATGCTTGCCAAAGGATGCTTTACATTTAGTAATGGCAAATAAGTAAGTAAACATTACCTTATAGAAGTTTAAATCTGCTTTTCTTTCCTGGGACTCTGGTTTACCATATACAGTCCATATGTGTATATACCTGACTTTTATTGGGTTGTGATAAGTGTAAATAGTGACTTTATTGGGGTGAAGTGCTGTATGTAAGACAGTAGAACATGTAGGATTTCAGTGCAATGTGGTGCGCATGTGTGCTAACATGCATGGGAGTTAGGGTAAGCTGTATTTTAAAATGTCTTACAGTTTTCTGTTTATCTAACAAAGCTGCATAGAAAGGAAAAAAACATTGATAGGCTTCTTGCTCTTGGGGCATATTTTGAAAGTAAAATATTCATGCTAAATCGTGAATTCAGTAGTTTAACATCATTTATTTTGCTATTTTGAGTAGAAATTACCATGTCGGGAGAGACAGCTGTGGGGGAGGGAGGGAAGCTAACTTGGTAGTTCAAGGAAGGAGCCTCTCTAGCTTGTCTGGAATGAGGCTTTCCTCCTGAGAGAATATGGAAACATTAAAAAAAAGCTGTCACTGAGAGGGAGAGAGGAGCCTAGCTATTTCTACTCTGTAAGTGCTCTATTGAGTCACCTTTGAAGCCTTTAATCAGCTGTAATTTATTATTTTTTTTATTGTCTTAGCCCATAAATTGTAACCTTAACTGTGAATTTTCATTGCTTTGCTTTGGAATAAGTGCTTTTCCATGTTCGGGGATTTTTTTTTTAACCTGTAAACTCCTGCTGATATATATCGGGAGTATGTATATACATAAATATATGTATGTAAAAACATAGCAGGTAAGAATACAGTTGTAAAACTCACCATGGCAAAACTTCTTATAATTTTCAGATGGTGCAGACCATGCTTCCAAAGTCATGGAGAGCCATGAAATTCTACTTCACTACCGTGTATCAAGAAATATGGGTTGGTGTGGCATTAACAGCTTATGTCTACTACAAAATTTCATATGGTGGTAAGTTACACACTATGGTCTTCGTTAGCTGTTACCTTATAGATAATGGTTTATAGATGAGAATATCCTTAACAGTTAGAAATCAGTTGTTGAAAATATCCAGCAAATAAGAAATTAACACTCTTACTTAAGGCCAGGTCTTTGTCATAAAAATTTAGAAGTTTTAACATGCCTAGTGTAGAAGGTTACACCAACAAAAATACTTAAATACCAGTGTAACTGTGCCTACATTATGAAGATTAGGTAATATAGGAATTGGTTTTAAAAACATACATCTAACCTGCAACGTACAGCCAGAGGCTTCCCCTGTAGATTTGTCCTGAAGGGGAATGTAAGACTCTTCTGAACTAGAATTTACTTTGATTAGAAATTTTTTTAGAATTTTTTTTTTTTTTTAGTTTTTGCTCAAGATCTGCAAAAAAATAGAGTTTTTAAAAGGTTTTCTCATGTGAACTTGTGAAAGTCAAAGCACTTAGTTTATTTTGGGCTGATGCACCTCAAAATGTGAGATACATCACTGAACATTAAAATGTGTGTTACTTGGTGATATTGGATCATTTTCTCAGAGGAAGAAACAGAACATCTAATGTAAAAATAATAAATTTGAGTGGGCCAGGTCCCTCAAAGCAGAAGGGTACAACAGATGATGGTGTTTTAAAGGTTCTGTTCTTCAATGTAGGCTATGCTGAAAAAATTCCAAGTCAAACCCATGAACAATGAAACTGTAGACAAACTCGACAGGGAAAGGAGCCCCTCACTGTGGGAACAGCTGAGTGATGTTACCTCAACATTTCTCTAGCTTTGTCCAAATAACTTGTCGCATGTCTAAAACTGTTATGCTACACTTACAAGCTTAAGTAAATATGAGTAGTTGAACAGCCAGAGGGAGAAAAAAACAGTTTAACTTTTGCTTTAACTTCTTTAATTTCAAGGAGAATTCAAAATTGACAGACTGTTTCAAGTTTGTGTTCATGTCATGCTACTTTTATTTTCATTTATGATTTAGATAATAGATGTGGTGGTGTAGGGTTTTGAGGGCCAAAACCTTGATATGGGGCAACTGTATGCTAAGGATTATTTTAAAGTGAAAATAGCTTTTTATAGCTGTAGCCCTTCCTGCAGTTTGGGGAACAGTTTTGCAAATAATACATATATTTCTAGAAGAGTATGTTGTAGAATAACTTAGATTGGAAGGGACTTCTTGAGCTCACCTGGTCCAAACCACTGCTTAAAGTAGTTAGATCAAAGTTAGATCAGGTTGCTCATGGCCTTATTCATAATTCAAATGAGTATTTCCAAGGGTGGAGATTGCACAACCTCTTATGACTGTCTTCCTCATGAAGAATTTTTTTCATCTATTTTTGTCTGTTGGCTGTGAATCAGTATTTTAGGTGAACAATTACAATGGGAATGTAAAATAAGCTATTTTTCTTATAAAGGAAAATTTTAAAGCAAACTGTATTCTTATCACTTCAGTTTACATCCGTATGTTGTGTGTATATGTATCCATATATTATGTAAAATAGTACCATTCTGTGTACATTTCTTTTGAATTACAGTAGGATTCTTGATGGCTACAATTTCTAAATGCATGGAGTCTTGGTTAATTAAAAACACTTTTAAAAAAATCAATATAACGTTTACTGACATGTACCATGAAAGTACCTGTTGTGTGCTTTTTAGATCTTGTTCAAGCTAAATTAGCAAATCATAAGTAGTATAATCTAATTGAAGTTTATCTGCAAAAAATAAATAGGAAATATTTTTTTAAACTGTCATCGTTCAGCTTGTTTTTTCTTTTTTTCCAGGCAAAAAAGCAGTGGCAGACAGTAAGTATTAAATATCTAATACCCTGTTGTATTTTTTTAAATGAGCGCAGTAAAAATTAGCTCAGCATATCTTATGTAAGTTTGGGGTTTAAGTTATGGATTTAGAAAATGTTTAAAGACTACTTAAAAATACGTAGTTTTGGTTTTATTGATGGTTTTATAACCTAGAAATATCTGTGAATCTGCACAGCTGCTACCTCTGCCTTAAATTGTCCTTTGCATAGGTTTTAGGAGTAGCATGGAAGTTGTATGCCTTGAGTGCAGGGTGGGGGGGAGGAATTATTTTAAATAATAGTAACAACCATTTAATGGAATTACTTAAATCAGCACAATCTCAAGAGTAGCTGCTATTTTAGCTGTCAAGAAACTAAAAAGTTTAAACTTGTATTTTGAATTTGTATTTTTATATCCTCTATAAAGTAGTGTTTAGATATTTATGGACAGTTTCTTCTGGTATCACATTGGAATTTAATTTTTCATAGCTGCTGTATCTCAGTTAACTTTCTGCACCATGATAGATAGCCCATTTCCTCCCAGTTGAATTTGTATATGAAAACATTTACATTTTTAAATGTGTAATTAGTGAAAATACTGCCCAGTAGACTTAAGGATAATAGCATAAATAAACTTTAATTTAGAAAGAACCATACCAAAAGTGAGGAAGAATGGATGTTTGCCTATAATAGTGCTTTAAAACTTGCGAACAAGGATTTTTAGTGTTGGCCAAGTTTACTTATGTACTTTGAGGGTATTGTTTTATTTGACAGGGCAGTTGAATCTGCCAATTCTTGTCCTCAGATGTAGATGCAGTTGTCTGTTCTAGGTTCTGAACTATGTTCCTGAACTGATTTGCTCTACTGTTTGAACAGTCTAAATCGTGTCTTTTGTTTCAGAACCCTCTGGTGCTGGCCATCATTAAAGACCTCTTCTCTTCTTGGAGTATGAATCTGGTGGTTTGTCATCTTCACTGTACAAGAAGCAAGTTACAACCATAGGGAAGTTAATTCTAAAACTGTACCTGATCCATCTGCTGTAATTAGAGAAAGAATAAATACATTGAGCAACAAGGAATTAAACATGTTGGACAAAGTATGCTGGAGTGTATTGTTAACCTGATTTTCAGAATAAGCATTTTTTGTTTTCTACAGTTCTTCCAAGTTCCATGTTAAACTTTCTCAATAGTACTTTGAAAAAGACCAAGTTTCTGTAACTAAACTTCTTAATAGAATTAGCCAGCATTAAGCCTCTTTTTTTTTTCCCCCTAATGATGTCTTTTTTGACTGTAACTTTTGAAATACTCCATTTACTTTTAAAATGTCATTTAATAGTATGCCAAGTGCGAGGACTTAATTCTCAGCTTTTTGTCAACTTGTGCCACAATAATTAAGCGTACAAAAAGTTCTTTTTAAAACCTTTCATTTTTTTAAAGAGTTCTTAATTCTGCAAGGTTTAAAAGCAAAAGCTGTATTGTTATTAAATAACACCATGCAAAATGTTTAGAGAGGTTTTAAAAAAGTACATTACTGGCAACTATCTTTTTGTGTCTTTCATATTCAGTTGAGCTAATGAATTATTCTGAAAGGTTCTTCCTTTAGTCACAAATTTTGCAAGGGAGTAAGTAATAACATGCCCATATTGTATGAGAAAACTGATGTTACATGGGCCCTCATCTGCCATTTGAGCTTAGGAAAATCTCAGAATTTAAAGGGAATAACGAACTCATGCACTGTGGCAGCAGTTAATATGAGCATAAACAAACATTTAACTGACAAAGAGTTTTCCTTTTCCCTGAAAATTTAGAAGTAATGTATCACTAGGATGGGTCATTAGTGGTTTTTGCAGATAGCTATTAAAGTATTTAAATAGCTATTTGCAGATAGCTATTTAAAAGTATGCAAATAGCTATTTGCAGATAGCTATTAAAGCTAGTAGTATATTTTGGAGACGCTAGGAACCTGTCTTAACAAAAATCAGTTACATACTGAATTCTGTACCAAGGATACATAGTGTATAAAACCAAAATTGGACTTCATGTCATGTTTTGCTTAAATTTAGCCTAATCTGCTTTTGAGAAGATTAAGAGGCTTAAGTCATTTTAATGACTTAATGCTTACGTACATGTTTTTAACTACTTCACTGAAACATCTTAAATCTTTCAGCTTGATTGAAGTTTTGCTTTTCAATCTCTCTGACTGCAGTATTGGGCCATAACTTAAATATTTTGTATTTGAATACGCAGGAGCTTGATAACCTTACCTGCTTATGGTAACCATTCCAAACACTGTGTTGCCTTTAATTTCTTCAAAATGTATACTTCTGCTTAAGCTTAATAGCTATACCTACTATGAGTAGAGTAAAATTACCAGTCATATTTCTCTGCAAGCTTTTTTAAAAAAGGCAGGTATAGCATTACTCAATTTGAAAAGAATAGGTGACATCTCTCTATCATGCGTTCTTGACATTTCTTCCACATTCCACAGCTTTCCTTGTTGCATCTTCCCTTGATATGTTTTAGCTGATTCTTTCATGACTTTCATAATTTCTGTATGGTTTTTTCAGTGTTTCCTCACCGCAGATGAATGAGAAGTAGAAAGAACTTGCTATTTCTTTCTTTACATAAAACCAAAAGCATCCAGAAGAAGGGAACAGGGAATAAAAACTAGAAGAAAATGGAGCTTCAAATGAACAAATATTAGGTCAGTGGTGATTACAGGGTGGGTCAGAGTTGTGGTATAGTTAATAAGTGGTTCAGATTGAAAATTTATGCCAGGTAAGGAGCTATACGTGCATTTGTAATGCAAATTTATGATCACCAAGTTATAGTTCCTAAGATACGACACATACTTCAAATGACCTGCTTTAACAATTTTCAATTACAGAGCTGAGGAAAACAAGCTAGGGAAAAAAAACATTAATCACTGCAGGATTTGCTTCACCTTAGCTAGAACCTAACACACTGGCACTGAGCTACATCAACATGCTGCCTGATCTCCTAGATGTTAATTGAAAGCAAGAAGAGCTTCTGCTAACCTGCCCTTGGAGGACAGTTAGCTGCACTTTTAGGTAAACTTAACCTACTTCAACTCTTAATGCTTCTTGATACCTGACTTGCTTGATTTTAAAATATGGGCAGCAATGTCTGGGTTATGAAAACTACAATTTCTACTGAAATAATGCTGTCTGCAACTGGTTCTTCCATTAGTGCATCTCTGTCGGAAATTTCTGTGAAGGTTGCAGAATATTCCTTCCTGTTTGTGATTCTTACACAAATCTCTGCAAAAGATAAGGGCAGTAAAACTGGTGTTTATGTTTAAATAGGTTTTTTTCACTTGAGCAGGTTACAGAAGGAGGAAATTAACTTTCAGTTAATTTCTTGACTTGACTCAAAAGCAGAAATCAACACATCCATAATGTGTAACACCTGTAGTACTATCTGTATACTTTCTGCTCCTCTATGCTGAAGCACACCAGGTAGTATAAAAAACAATAGAGGAAAGTTAGCTAAGGCATTGTAAGTGCCATTTCTTATTTACAGTGAGGTGTGGAAGGAGTTATCAGTTTTCTTTGCAGCACTAGCATCTGGAGTGTAGCCCTAGGTAGAGAAGCATTGCAAAGGAGTACCCTTGAAGTGAGTACTCTTATTTTAGAATCTGTGCGCTTTTTTCCTAATTTAGCTAAGGTGATTTCTAAAGCTAACTTAAAACAAAAAGCTTTTCTTGTTCCAGGTAAGTGTCTATAGACAAGCCTCAGCTCCTGAACAAACCCATTTTCTATGCAAATGACTCTATGATCAGGACTTTAATCCATGGAGGTGTAATATTCATCATGATTCACAATTAAACACTGGTGGGGGAAATTCTTACTGCTCATTGATGGATCATGCTGTTTCCATTTAGCTGCTGCCCCTTTATATTGCTGACATTTCTAAAATGAGATGATTACATTTAAACTTTGTGTAGTAACATAGTTCAGCAACTGCATTTTTCATTTGCTGCCTGTGATAAGGCATCAGCAAAGACAAAAACCGTTCACTACCTTTGCAATGTTAGTGGAACAACAAACTCCTACAGGGGTTGAAAAGCCTCACCCAATTACTGCAGCACCATCTTGAACACGTTTTGCTGTGGCACTGGTAATTTTTTTTTTAAATCGATACAGAACATGAAAGCTCAGCAGTAGGGAGCTGTACTAATAATGACAAGGCTAATGCAAGATACGGTCTTTTTACAGTGCAAGTACTTCTGTATTTGCCCCTCTATGCTGTGTCTTACTTATGGCCAGGATTTCTCATTGTGGAGCTCTGAGATTTCTAGAACGTTTTCAAGTGTTGTTCTACAATTGGGAATCTCAGAGTATCCCCTGCATGCTAAAAAAGTATTACGGAATACTCTAGGAGAGCAGCAAAATAGAGTCGGAGCCAAGGAAACGTTAGTCACAGGGCCCAACCTACTTAACGTCTTTAATGGCTAACTTGGGGAAAAAACCCAAATGTGTATTCATGTTAACTGGGAGGATGAGTAAAGTTGCAGGAAATGATCTAAAGTAACTAAAACAGCTGGACTAGTCTCCTATTTATCTGAATCATGATAGCAAACCACTGTTTGTACTACGCAAATACAGCCTGATACAGAGCTGGTATGTGTATGTGTATTGTACTTTCAGTCCCCAAGGAAGGAAAACTATTAGGGGCTTGTTAGACACATGTGATTATCTGTGACATCACCACCAGATGGCTGACATGAAACTAAGTGAGGAAATCAACATGTGAAATCTCTATTGTTTCATTCACGGAAATCTGTAAAGCTGCTAGGAAGGAAAGAATGGTAAGATGGAGATTCCCTGAGGCATTGAATATGTTGGTTAACAATTCAGTAAATGGAGGAACAAGAAGTGACAAGATAGTGCTTGAACAGCAAGCTCTTCATACTATAATTCCATGACCTTTAGCAACTAACATTTAGCAGCTACTGTTCTCTTTACTTTAAGAATATAAAGCCACATGACTCTCGTTTGGTAATTTATGGAGAACTCATAAACAAGAAATTCCTGTAGTCTACTCCACTGCTGCTGGCAAACTACTTGGAAACAATTACTCTCCCCTAACTCAAAATGAACTGACCACCACAAGAATGGATTATTTGGAAGTTTTAATTAAATTCTGCTAGGGGTACTATGACTTCTTTGGTTGTGGTTTAACAGTACGAGTACTCTGGAAGCTACACCAGCTTGTGGAATTTCCACCCTTATACCACAGTGCCTTGCTCCTCATAGTTGTGCCAATACAACTATTTGTGAATCAGATAAGGCAATTTTTTTCATAATTTTAGGGGTTTTTTCCCCCTCCAAAATAACAAAACAAGCACTCAGGGTTTTTTTCTGTTTTAATTTGGATCCATCTCCTGATCCCGTTTACAGCAAAGCTGTTTTATAACTTGCATTACAGCACAACAGCATTATTTTTACAGAAAAGGGGAAGAAGAATCAGAATTTTTATCTTCACATTCACTCACCCAGCTTTCCTACGTCATTGTGTCCCTTACAATAATTTAATGCAAGTTTCCTCCTCATACCCAGCTACACACATGATCAAAGTACTGTCTCTCCCATAAGAACTGTCATCACTGTCAACGCTCACAGGAATGAACGCCGAACTCCACCCTGTATACAAGTCAGGAATGTCAGCCTGCGCTTCAGCAAAAAGGCAGAACCTTGCTTCCTTCCTCTGTGACAGCCATCGCTTTCTCAATTTTATAGTATCACTTAATTAATGGGGACAAACAAACAAGTAGGGAACAGGGAGAACAATTGTTCCACAATATCCTAATGCTCAATACTTGCAGGAAGAATACTTTTAGTAATAAAGGATACATTTGGAAGTGGTTCTTCAAATCAAATTATATTATTGGTTGTCAACAAATGAAAATACACTTTTAATTATTATGACCTTCAAAAACCTAAAGTAACTTTTAATTGACATGACCTTTAACTATTTTACATCCATATCATCACCATAACTTCAGCTATCTGCTGGAACAGACAGTAGAGATTCTTCGGAGCTAATGAAGTGTGTTTGCTAGGAAATGATAATAGGG